TTCCCACACCGGCTCCTTTCCTCCCTCCCTCCCTCCCTCGCTCCTTTCCTCCCTCCCTCCAGCACCGGCTCCTTCCCTCCCTTCCTCTCTCCCTCCCACACTGCCTCCCTGCCTCCCACACCAGCTCCTTCCCTGCCTCCCACACCAGCTCCTTCCCTGCCTCCCACACCAGCTCCTTTCCTCCCTCCCTCTCTCCCTCCCGCACCAGCTCCTTCTCTCCCTTCCTCTCTCCCTCCCACACTGGCTCCCTGCCTCCCTCACACACCAGCTCCCTGCCTCCCTCACCAGCTCCTTTCCTCCCTCCCTCCCTCCCTCCTGCACCGGCTCCTTCCCTCCCTTCCTCTCTCCCTCCCACACCGGCTCCCTCCCTGCCTCCCTCACTGGCTCCTTCCCTCCCTTCCTCTCTCCCTCCCACACCGGCTCCCTCCCTGCCTCCCTCACTGGCTCCTTCCCTCCCTTCCTCTCTCCCTCCCACACCGGCTCCCTCCCTGCCTCCCTCACTGGCTCCTTCCCTCCCTTCCTCTCTCCCTCCCACACCGGCTCCCTCCCTGCCTCCCACACTGGCTGCCTTCCTCCCCCACCCTCCGGCAGTAGGAACTTCTCGCCGGGGCAGGGACTGGCCCCCTCTCCCCAGCTCTCTGCCTACCTCTGAGGCTTCGGCAGGCTCCTGGATCAGACTCCCGTAAGAAAGCCCTTTGGGATTCTGGTCGTCACCTAGCAGGCTGGCGTGGTCATTGGCCTTGATCCTTCCCCGCTGCATCTCGATCCTTCATGCACCCTGCTGGGTAGGATCAAATCAGCCAGCCGTGAGTCGCCGGCGCAGCGGGGCGAGGCAGCCAGGCAGGCCCACGAAGCTGGAGAGATCAAGGCCTGGCTGCCTCGCTTTCTGGTCCTGCTAGTAGACGTGCAGGGGGCGCGCCCAGGGAGTGGCTGGCTTCCCCTCCTGCTCTGCCGTGGCACAGCCCAGCGCGTTTGGCTGCCTGGTTAGCACTGGGCTAGCGGGGGCTCCCGACTGGCCGCTCTTAGGTTCCTACTCACAAAGCGTCAGACTCAGCTGCTGCCTTGGTTTCACACACATTGCGGAGTTTTCCTAAAAGCTCTCCCAGGAAATCTGGGAGCAGCATTCCTAGCAGCGGGCCCAAAGGGGTGTCCCTGGTGTGTGGGGGTGAATCCAGGCACGGCCTGTTCCGCAGCTGTCTGCCAGGGAGGGGCTGGCAGGGCCGAGGGGGCTGGATGTAACACGCCCATGGCAGGTGACAAGAGCAGTCACCTGGCTCAGAGCCCATCCGCTGCGATTAGAGACCTCTATTGAGCTGAGTTTTGTCTTTTGTAACGGGCTAAATCATGCCTCTGAAAGGTGAGATTTGAGATTGGTGCCTTCAAAGCACCCGGCAGAGAAGGAATGCATCTTTTAGGAAGGAATGTCACTGAAGAGCATGAGATTAGCAACCCAGAGTACAATCCCCATTGTATCCCAGGGAAACTGAGGCACGGAGCAATGGCGTGACTCGCTCAAGAACGCCCGGTAATTCTGTCGGAACTGGGCATAGACCACGCGTGTCCGACTCCCAGCTGTCCCGTGCCAGAGCCGGCGCGCTGCTTTGGGACCCCACCCCGGGGCGAGCTGTGCCGAGATCAGTCCAACACAGCACATTCAGAGCCGGGCTGTGAGCCTGGAGCATGCAGGGTGCTCCGGGAGCGGAGTGGGCACTGCAGGCTGGCCCAGGGCAGACAGACCCTACGCGGCCTCAGGTGTGTCGGGAGCCAGCATCAGGCCCCGGCTCTGAACCCAGCTGTGCCCACAGGTGCCGTCTCAGTGGGTTCCTGGGTTTGCAAACTACTGGATCAAAGGCCTTACGCTGGCAAGGCCTTGGGCCCCGGCCCAGCAGCTGTCGCAGGGTTCGCCGCGCTCTGGAGCTGCCCGTCGGGTCCAGGCCCGCGGAAAGCTCTCAGGACCAGCTGCACTGTGGCAACCTTCGGCCATTTCCGTCTAAACGGGTGACCCCTGTCACGTTACTGGATTGTGAGGGGAGCAGCCGGGTCACTGCGGCACCCATGGGGGGTGTTCGCCCCAAAAGTGGTACAAAGGGGCCATGGGAGGGGTCAAACAAAAGCTACTTTCTTCTGATTCTGTATCTGCTCTTCATAGATCTGTATAATGTCTGGGGTGGAGTTAGGATCTGTACTCGCTATGGAGACTGGAAGTCTTTCTGAATGGGCTTGAGTAATGGGTTAGGAATGTTGGCCTATGGCCATGCTGACGAGCAAGTCTCCAGGGGACACGGGTCTCTGGAGGCCAAAGACACACCTGGCCACTGGCCATGTGACTCTAGCCAGCCTGAAGAAACCAGGAAGGAGGGTTAAATATGCCATGTGGTGGACTCCATGTGGTCTCCAGATCTGCTCCTGACCCCACATGCGGCCTCGCAGGGAATCACGAGCCGGGAAGAACTGTGGACCCATCCTGGCATAGGATGTGCACCAAGGACTTTTAAGCCAGCAGCTATAACATCTCTGCTAGAGCCTGCATCGAGAACTGGGAGATTCGGTGCATGTAACGTATGATACTTTAGCAACCGTACTCTCAGGCTTTTCTTTCTTGTAGTAATAAACCTTTAGTTGTTAGATGCTAAAGGATTGGCCCAGCGTGATTTGTGGGTAAGGTCCAGAGGGTAAATTGACCGGGGATCTGTGGCTGGTTTCTTGGGACCGGACAGGACTTGTTCGGGGTAGGTGGGATTGGGTGCTAGGACCCCCCACCTGTGTATAGGCCCGGGGCCATCTGGGGCACGGATATTGCTGGGGTGTCGGAGGGGTTTTGCTCGTCAGGCTTCAGGCAGGCAGCTGAAGCGCTCTGTGAGACTGGTTTGTGGCCTGTGTGGAGAGGTCACTAGTCTGGGGGCTGTAAAGAGCCCTGGATTTGAGCAATTCGCCCTGAGCGGACACCCTCAGCTGTGCCCAGACCCGGCCCATCACCCCTTCCCCCCGCCGCCCCTGCCGGAGGCAGTTCAGCTGCTCCTCAGTGCCCCGTCCCACAATGCAGTGCCTCACGGCGGGAAGGCAGCCACATGCTGCTGTGCACCATGGGAGACCCGCCCCCGGAAGGCTGCGTCTGAACGCACGGTCGTGGGCCTGGCAAAACAACGGCGCTCAAACGCAGGAAAGCAAAACGACGTAACGACGACCGTGGTGCAAGCAAGCCTGCTTCTGCAGCGGCTCCCTGGCTAGAGCAAAACCGAGCTAAATACGCCCAAAGGCTCCCTCCAGCCCAGCTCCTTGACGCAAGGGGAGCAGGCAGAACCCTCCCCACTATTACAGCAGGCTGGTTTTGTTTAGTGTGAAAGACACCCCCTCCTGTCGTGGCCCCTTGTGACTCTGGGTCCCAGGAAGCCTCCCGGCTGAGTTAGCAACTGGCGCAAGTGGAGTCTGCCTTGAGATTGGGGTTCCCGAGGGGGTTTCCAGGCCTTGCTGGAAATCAAGTCCCTCTCAGGCCCCACCATCCGTGCACACAGGCTGCTAGGCCACTTCTCTGAAAATCTTGGTCTTGCCCGTGCTGAGGAAGCCCCCCCAGGCGGAAAGAGCCCCTGGCAAACATGACAGCCCCTCTCGTGGCTGAGCGTGTGACCTGGCCCGGTTAGCTCAGCCACGGGGCCACGGTCAGACATAGGACAGAGAAACGCTGCCCGGCTGCACCTGAGCCAGCCCCCTCCCCAGACGCTCTGGGTGGCTTACTTGCCATTTCAGTCTCATTCACCCCAACTCGTAGGGAGCAAAGAACGAGCCCGTGGGGGTTGGGAGCAAGCGCCGTTGCTTGGGCTCGTACGTGGGGAGCGGTGCCATGGACTCGCCTGACCTGCGAGGGCTACTGGCTCGCTGCCCTTCCGCAGTCCGGGGGCCCAGCACGCCCCTCCCGCTCTGGCGGAGGTGTTACCCCAGGGCTCGGCTTGCTGGGCTGCCGGCTAGCGGTGCCACATGCCCTGTGAGGTGCGGGGAAGCCACCCGCCAGCCTCCCGGCGCAGAGGGGAGCTGAAAGCCAAAGGCAGGATAGCCCGCAACAGGCGGTCGCCTTCGGACTCTGCTCTCAGGCTGGAGCCAGATCCACACGGGGGCGCTCCAGCAGGGAAGCGTCCTTCCCAGGGGCCAGGCATCCCCCCCATCCCCGCTGTGCAGTGGGAGCCTGCAGGGCGTAATGAGGAGCCCAGGGGACCCTGGGCGCTGCAGGTCCTTGGCAGGCCCCCTGCCTAGACAGCTGGCCCTGGAGCAGGCAGGGGACTACGTTTCCCAGCAGTCCCTTGGGCGCTAGGCCCAGGAAAGGGGGTGCACGGGGAGGCTGTGAGCCGTGCTGTGGATGGGGACGTGGGAGCACGTGGCTTTGGCCTGGATCTCACCCCAGACTGGCGGCAGCCCAGCAGGGGGAGGGTCAGCAGGGGCTACCCCCTGCCTAGACAGCTGGCCCTGGAGCAGGCAGGGGACTACGTTTCCCAGCAGTCCCTTGGGCGCTAGGCCCAGGAAAGGGGGTGCACGGGGAGGCTGTGAGCCGTGCTGTGGATGGGGACGTGGGAGCACGTGGCTTTGGCCTGGATCTCACCCCAGACTGGCGGCAGCCCAGCAGGGGGAGGGTCAGCAGGGGCTA